AACTGTACCAACGGTTCTCGGTAACAAAGAGGTAACGAATTAGACTCGATATAGCGCCGCTCGATCACAAATTCCGTGGTGGAACTTCTCCGAGATATATATGTTTATTTAGAGCACCTCAGCGTGGTATAATGTTTAGCAAGCTTGTCTCGTTAGATCAGTTATGACTGAAAAGTGAGTTCGATCCTCACTGGGTGCTCTATACTTTCGGCCTTGTGCTACATCTAAGCTATGCTTAGAAGATAACTATATAATTATTTATTCCAAAATTATAACATAAATATGTTATAAATTCGCTACAAAAATAACCATTTTGTTTCAACACTTCTGGTGTCTTATCAAGTGATGATGTTGAATGTAGAATAAAGGGTTTTAAAAGATTAAAATCAATCAAACACCCCTTGCTAGGGGAAACGCTGTTACATAAGCTGCAATGACCAATCAAAATACAAGTATATGAGAATTCAAAAAACTTGACAACGAAATTTGGTTACAATAATTATTTAATGCTTTGCTGTTAGGGTTAGACTAAAATGGAGTTCATTCTAGCTAATAAATGTTAAATTATACTATATAAAATAAACAATTACCAAATTTAAATCTAATTCCTGATGAATTGGATCGTATTTACGATTCCAATGGAATAAATTATGACCATGGAATATTAGTGTTTAAGCCTTTTTATTATATCCTTACTCTGTCCTGGACATTGAGTTCTACCTGGATTCTTCCTCTTGGAATTTTTATTCAAAAATATACATGTGTGGGTATTTATATATTTTGCATATGTATGTATATTTACCACTAATATCTATCTATCTATCTATCTATCTATCTATATATATATATATATATATATATATATATATACAAATACATATATCTATATATATAAATATAGAATTATATATATATATATATATATATACAAATATATATATATAAATATGCAAAATATATATATATATATATATATATATATATATATATATATGTACGTCTGTGTGTCTCTGTGTGTGTGTGTGTGTGTGTGTGTGTGTGTGTGTGTGTTGAACTGGGTTGTATATTAATATTTTTTCGTTTTATTATTTCATTTAGGTTCCTCGAGTAGTTTCGGCCAGCATGGCCATCGTCAGAAGAAACAAAAATCTCTGCTTGTTAGTGAATTTTTAAAGATTTTTTGTACCTGTGCATAATACGCATTCCTAATTTTAGAAAAAATGCGTATCATACATGGGGAATTACATTTTCTTTTTCATTTAATTTTTGGTGGGGGGTAATGAGTCCTTAATGAATATAAGACTGAAAAAGAGAAATCAAATGGATAAAAAGCTTATTTTTATAGATGTCACGTCTTGCAATCTCGAGTAGTAGTACTAGTAGTAGTAGTAATAGTACATTTCTCCGTGTCCTGAATAGCAACCGGGTTTGCTTGGCATAGCTACCCTATGTTCGCCAGTTATTCTCTATTTATATTTGTCTATCTAATTCGCATACGATACTAAAATGTATAAAACGCATCGGGTTTTAGAACAAAGACAATGATCCAAACATATTAAAAACGAAGAGAAACAATGAAAGAAAAAAAAATAGGAAAATGTTCATTAACTGCATTTCAATAAAAAATTGTTTTTGATTAAATTTATTTTGAATTTATGCCTCATTTTATTTTATTTTTTTTTCGTCGAAAGTTAAATTATAATTTTCTTTTGAATGATTTCTAAACTCACAATAAAATCCGGAAAAAAGTACGAAGCCGCACGGGACACGATGAATGTGTGGCACCATGCATAAGTTAGTAAGCTGAAAAGAAATATTCATAAATATATGATTTGTTTTTTACGGTTTGTCAACCATTTGATAATTATTTAGAGCTGAAAAATATTTGGGTTTTGAGAATAATTCTTTCTTTACGTTCAAGCGATCTAGAAGAAAGAAAGAGAAGACAGAAAAAAAAAGGAGAAAAATAAATAATACGAAACCAGGTCATAAGCGAGCACACACACGCTCGACTGGCACATAACAGATGTCAAAAATATCAGGTCAAGCACCTGATCTACTTCCGTGTCCACGAAAAATGCAAGTTTGTTATCAAATGGTTGAAGAAACAAAGTTTAGGGACAATGGAAAAAATATGATAGGTAATAGGTGGGAAGTTTATCTAAGGATATGAAGACAAACCATTAATACGAAAACACAGGCAATTCCAGAATTAAAAAAAAAAGCCACACAAGATGATGTTGGCTGAAAATGTTTTTTTTGAGATAATGAAGATTTTGTTATCAAGCTTCGAGCGAAAGAAAAGTGAAATATTTTATTCGTTCACGAAAACGCCACCCAGTCTGAGAAATCCCTTTCTTAGATAGTATCCAATTAGCGATAAAATGCTTGACAAATACCGCGTGTTAAAAAAAAAACCGAGAGCGTCATTTCGGTCGCGTATGATAAGGGCAATTTAAATTTTTATTTTTTTAAGCAAGGTGTTTCTTCCCCCAGAACAAAGCCACGGATTGTCCACGCCTGACTAAAGACCTCATTGGCTAGATGGGATCACGTGGCGCACGAAGGAGGAGGAAAATACCCGACCAGGACCTCATTAGCCGAGAGCGGTCACGTGACGCACGAGGAGAATCGGTCGACGCCCTTGTCAGAGGTGTAAGTGTGAGGGCCGATACGAGGAAGCGGGGGGAAGCGGGTATACGCCCTCAGAGACACAATAAGAAAGTAGGAGGAAAGTGAATTACCGAAAATGGAAAATCCCTAACCAGAAATAAGAAGGGTGGATACGTATTTAGAATCATCAAGAAAACCCTGGCGCAGACAGACCCACCCCAGTTTTGACTGCGTCAATAAAAGCGGGACCCCAACCGACAGAAATCAGAGTTTGCGCCGCGGACGGCGAGGGAGATCAGCCGCGGACGGCGGGCCGGATTCGTCCCCAACCCCCTAGCGGACAGGAGAGGCCAGCTCGTTTGGCCGAAGTGAAGCAGCTCGTTTAGCCGAAGTGAAGCAGCTCGTTTGGCCTAAGTGGAGAAGTTGGAATCAGAGCAAGCTGAAGAGAAGAAGTTAATTCGCGCACTGACGGCGGAGATGAGTGACCAATAATTCAGACTCTGAAGAGAAGAGATCAGCCGCGGACGGCGAGCGGATTGCAGTTTGAGCCGTGAACGACAAGCAGAGATGAGCGCCCAGTGTTGAAACCGCGTCAAGATAGCTCACCAAGATTCACGCACACTTCTGGACTCTTCTTCAACCAAGAACAAGTAGTTTGAAGAGCGACTTAAAATCAGACCACAGAAATAATTTTTTTTTTTGACTTTCGTCCAAGGACACGCCGAAACACAAATTTCTTAGAGAGCAGACAACTGGAAGCCTTAAAGTTGCCTAGTAAAAGCGTTGTGCCACAATCCACAGAACGGGTCGGGAGGTAGCATAGTCCTATGTACCGAGCAAATAGACATAAAAGTTTGTTACCTTTTTCTTGATACGTTGGACCTTGTGAGTTGTTATTTTATTTCTTTTTTATTATACATAATTGTGTGTTATCACCCCGGTTAGACTCGACTTGCATTACGGCCCCAAGCCCTGTTTGATCTCGCCTGTCTAAGATCAAGTCACAACGTGGGTAGGCAGACCAGAGATCAGCGCAGTTACCCTGGTAACCAGGCGTTGGAAGCGGGTTGAGAACGACGAGGCTGGTATCAATCTAACCAAAGGGTTAGAACGTCACGTTTGGAGCAGCGAGGAGCGAACAGCTGGCGCCGCGGCAAAGACGTCACAACTGGTGCTGTCCGTGACCAGGATATCAGAGCCTGGGGAGCACGTGACGTCACAACTGGTGTCGTGACCATAGGATCAGAACCCTGGACCACGTCACGTCACAATTGGCACCGCGAACGAGATCGAACGACACAGTCGACGCTGCGACCGGGGGACGACGTCAAAAATGTTTTTTTTTTCGCCCTTTGTTGCAATGCGTCTGTTATGAATAATTAAGAGTGGTCTCCCCTTGTTTTGTTACTCTCCTTTCTGAGAGAGCGATTTCTGTTTACTGGGACTGTAAAAGGACACTACACTCGAACCTTGTATTTACAGTTGAATAAAGCGTTCTTAAAACCTACACCAGCATTTCAAAAAGAAAATGTTTTTGAATAAATTTATTTTGAATTAATGCCTCATTTCATTTATTTTATTTTTTTTTCGTCGTAAATTAAATAATAATTTTCTTTTGAATGGTTTCTAATTTCACAATAAAATCCAGAAAAATTACGAACCCACACGGGACACGATGAATGTTTTTTTTTTCCCCTTTGTTGCAAAGCACTTGTTTTGAGCAATCAAGAGTAGTCTCCCCTAGTTTTGCTACTTTCCTCTCTGAGAGAGCAATTTTTGTTTACTGGGACTGCAAAAGGACACTATACTCGAACCTTGTATTCATAATTGAATAAAGCTTTCTTAGAGCCTACGCTTGCGAACTTTTGTCATTATGACGCCATTAGATAGATATTATCTCTCAAGTAAAGAAATTAGACCAATTTGACCCGATCTTATCATGGCATCGTCTTGGAAAAAATGGTATAGTATCCAAAACTAAAGTATTAAATGTAGCAGACTTTTGGACGTAATTTTGGCTGAAAAAAAGACTGCGTCTCATACACACAGTGTTATGGCATATAAATCACTTGTAAAATATAAGTGCATTAATATTAGAAAATATTGCATTCTTCCGTTCCAAGCAAAATGAATTTGCTTTAGTCATTCCAATTTTTTTTCGATTATTTTTATTTTACGCAATATGGAAATTGCTAAAAAAAAATTAAAATAAAGAGGAAATTAAAAATCCGGATGAAAACATTGAATTCGATGTTTTTTATATAACAAAGTCAGCAGTTCAATTGTTAAAGGGAGATAACTCAGCGTGAACTATTATATATGCGCATTTGATAAATTGGGCTGTAAATTACATTATATCAAGCTGGTTTTTGTCCTATTTCCGGCAGAAAATATTCGCTGACATCTATCTATCTATCTATCTATCTATCTATCTATCTGTTTGTCTCGGCCTGTTCATATCTATCTTTTTCGGTCTGTTCATATCTATCTCTCTATCTATATATCTATCTCGGTCTGTTCATATCTATCTATCTATCTATCTATCTGTTTGTCTCGGCCTGTTTCTGTCTATCTATTTCGGTCTGTTCTTATCTATCTATCTATCTATCTATCTATCTATCTCGGTCTGTTCATAATTATCTATCTTACACGACACATTCAAGTGAGACAGAGGAAACAACGCATAACCTTCGATTTTTGAGTAAACGTGTGGTGGAACAAGCTTTAGGAAATTTATTAAGAGCTGCAAAGGAGGGAAATTGTAGGTAGCCATGATCACTAACGTATGGAAGTTTATCAATGAACGAAAGAGTGCTTGGAAAAATTGTTACTCAAAGGACAGACTAATAGCACTTATAGTTAATATCAGAAAGCGATTTAATTTCTATGACATAAAATGAGTATAGTGGGATTAGAAAATTCGACACACTCAGGATATATTGAAAGGGTGGAGGACAGCAACGCAGGATCTACATAATCTGCTTGATTAAAAACTTGCAAGACCTGGGTTTAAGATCGAAGATAAAAAGACATTCCTACGCGCCAAAAAGGACAGGAAAATGTGGTGAGCTATAATCGGTAAAGTCCTGAGTTGAACTCGGCATATATAGATAGAAGAATGGGGATAGCAACAGACTTTAGAAGAGATGGCAAAAAGAGAAAATTTACTACTAGTTACAAAGGACAGAAAATGTGGAGGGCTATGATCACCAACGCCCTGAAAGGATAATATATTATTATTATTATTATTATTATTTTCTTTGATATCTGGTGTGTACACATTTCTTTTCGGGTCCTAACCACAGACCTAAGGTTAAAAATAGCATCATGACATTTTCTACTGACCAATTAAAAAAAATATTCTACATAGATAAAACCCTTCGTAAAGTGTGGGCTGTACTGGTGAGAACAGTTTGTTTTTTTATATTTCTTTAAGGCATGGTCTTCCAGGAATCCCTTCAATTAGTCTACTGGAATATTTTCCATCGAATCCGAGGGCTCCAACTACAACAGGGATTGTTGATGTTCCCGTGTGCCACATTATTATTATTATTATTATTATTATTTCCTTTGATTTACGGTGTATACTCATTTCTTTCCGGGTCCCAATCAGAGACCTAAGGTAAGAGATAGTGTCATGATATTTTCCGCTGCGCGTCTTTTGAGCATCACAACAAATAAAACCTTAAGAAAACACTTATTTGACATAGGTAAATCCCTTAGGTGTGGGCCAGTAGTCGTGGGTACATTTTTTTGTATTTCTTTAAGGCTTGGACTTACAGGAATCCCTTCAATGGGTGTATCGGTACATTTTTCAATCAATCCGAGGGCTCCAACTACAACTGGAATTATTCATGTCCTCATGATCCACATATTTGAGATTTGGAATTCAAGGTCATTGTATTTTGATAGTTTTTTGACCTTTAAAGATATGTATACGATCCACAGTCAATAAGAATGCACATTCTCTTCTTGTGTTCTTTGATCTCAAAGTCTGGCCGATTTTTCTGTCTGTGTGTATTATAAAGTATCATAAAATTGCTATAGATTTTATGTCTGTAACCGAGTTTGTGTAGGGTTCTGTTATATAGGAATAAAATGTCGCTGCCAACACTAGAGTTTGAACATAGATCGCCAGTGAGCAAACACAGGCGATCCCATTATTGAATTAAGTAGACCACGTTACCATAGAGGAAACGAATAAGTAGGAATTATCTTGGCGTCTAATTGATCGCCATTTCTAGTCTGTCCTCTATTACTATACGGATCACCATTTCTATAATGACGTTATTATAGATGTAATCTGTGATTACCAAGTCTCTACTGCAAATGAGCATTACGAAAGTGACAACGAGTATTCTTTGACATCGCAAAAGGTTCCCTTTTCTTAAAAGTTGCATAATTTCCGATGCATATATTGATTCACTCTGTCATGCCAGGTCTTATAATACTGTACAATCTGATACAAGATAGCCAATTGATTCTGGATATTCATCCCAGGATATTCATTTTAGGCTAACATTTTTTTCAGTATTTCAGCTTTTCACCCTTTACTACGTAGCCACTAATTTGCACAGGGTTTGTCGTTAACAACTTGTTTGATACAGGAAGAATATTGATCGTGAAAAGTTATATCTTGCCATGTTTTCTATATCTGGTCCATTGCATTTACTTTTGCTTTCTATTTCAAGATTTTCGCCGCTGCAGTAAGTGTGTTTTATTTGCATTTCTTCAACCACTTGAAATTCCATTTTGAACTCGAGGCTTCCTTTATTACAGAGTAAATATTCAAGATTCTGTCATGTCCTTTAACACAGATCATGTTCCAGTTTTCTTTAGTTTCTAGCCCCTTTCAAGGTCGATATTTGTAGATATATAAGACAGTTCCCTTTCAAGGCCGATATTTGTAGGCATATAAGACAGTTCTCATTCAAGGTCGATATTTGTAGATATATAAGACAGTTCCCTTTCAAGGCCGATATTTGTAGGCATATAAGACAGTTCTCATTCAAGGCCGTAATTTGTAGGCATATAAGACAGTTCTCTTTCAAGGTCGATATTTGTAGATTTATAAGACAGTTCCCTTTCAAGGCCGATATTTGTAGGCATATAAGACAGTTCCCTTTCAAGGCCGATATTTGTAGGCATATAAGACAGTTCTCATTCAAGGCCGATATTTGTAGGCATATAAGACAGTTCTCTTTCAAGGCCGATATTTGTAGATATATAAGACAGTTTTCATTCAAGGCCGATATTTGTAAGCATATAAGACAGTTCTCTTTCAAGGTCGATATTTGTAGATTTATAAGACAGTTCCCTTTCAAAGCCGATATTTGTAGGCATATAAGACAGTTGTCATTCAAGGCCGATATTTGTAGGCATATAAGACAGTTCTCTTTCAAGGCCGATATTTGTAGATATATAAGACAGTTCTCATTCAAGGCCGAAATTTGTAAGCATATAAGACAGTTCTCTTTCAAGGCCGATATTTGTAGGCCTATAAGACAGTTCTCTTTCAAGGCCGATATTTGTAGGCCTATAAGACAGTTCTCTTTCAAGGCCGATATTTGAAGGCATATAAGACAGTTCTCATTCAAGGCCGTAATTTGTAGGCATATAAGACAGTTCTCTTTCAAGGCCGATATTTGTAGGCATATAAGACAGTTCTCTTTCAAGGTCGATATTTGTAGATTTATAAGACAGATCCCTTTCAAGGCCGATATTTGTAGGCATATAAGACAGTTCTCATTCAAGGCCGTAATTTGTAGGCATATAAGACAGTTCTCTTTCAAGGTCGATATTTGTAGATTTATAAGACAGTTCCTTTCAAGGCCAATATTTGTAGGCATATAAGACAGTTCACTTTCAAGGCCGATATTTGTAGGCATATAAGACAGTTCTCAATCAAGGCCGATATTTGTAGGCATATAAGACAGTTTCCTTTCAAGGCCGATATTTGTAGGCATATAAGATAGTTCACTTTCAAGGCCAATATTTGTAGGCATATAAGACAGTTCTCTTTCAAGGCAGATATTTGTAGATATATAAGACAGTTCTCATTCAAGGCCGATATTTGTAAGCATATGAGACAGTTCTCTTTCAAGGCCGATATTTGTAGGCCTATAAGACAGTTCTCTTTCAAGGCCGATATTTGTAGGCCTATAAGACAGTTCTCTTTCAAGGCCGATATTTGAAGGCATATAAGACAGTTCTCATTCAAGGCCGTAATTTGTAGGCATATAAGACAGTTCTCTTTCAAGGCCGATATTTGTAGGCATATAAGACAGTTCTCTTTCAAGGCCGTAATTTGTAGTCATATAAGACAGTTCTTATTCAAGGCCGTAATTTGGAGGCATATAAGACAGTTCTCTTTCAAGGCCGATATTTGTGGCCTATAAGACAGTTCTCTTTCAATGCCGATATTTGTAGAGATATATAAGACAGTTCTCATTCAAGGCCGATATTTGTAGGCATATAAGACAGTTCTTATTCAAGGCCGATATTTGTAGGCATATAAGACAGTTCTCTTTCAAGGTCGATATTTGTAGGCATATAAGACAGTTCTCATTCAAGGCCGTAATTTGTAGGCATATAAGACAGTTCTCTTTCAAGGTCGATATTTGTAGATTTATAAGACAGTTCTCTTTCAAGGTCGATATTTGTAGGCATATAAGACAGATCCCTTTCAAGGCCGATATTTGTAGGCATATAAGACAGTTCTCATTCAAGGCCGTAATTTGTAGGCATATAAGACAGTTCTCTTTCAAGGTCGATATTTGTAGATTTATAAGACAGTTCCCTTTCAAGGCCAATATTTGTAGGCATATAAGACAGTTCACTTTCAAGGCCGATATTTGTAGGCATATAAGACAGTTCTCAATCAAGGCCGATATTTGTAGGCATATAAGACAGTTCCCTTTCAAGGCCGATATTTGTAGGCATATAAGATAGTTCACTTTCAAGGCCAATATTTGTAGGCATATAAGACAGTTCTCTTTCAAGGCAGATATTTGTAGATATATAAGACAGTTCTCATTCAAGGCCGATATTTGTAAGCATATGAGACAGTTCTCTTTCAAGGCCGATATTTGTAGGCCTATAAGACAGTTCTCTTTCAAGGCCGATATTTGTAGGCCTATAAGACAGTTCTCTTTCAAGGCCGATATTTGAAGGCATATAAGACAGTTCTCATTCAAGGCCGTAATTTGTAGGCATATAAGACAGTTCTCTTTCAAGGCCGATATTTGTAGGCATATAAGACAGTTCTCTTTCAAGGCCGTAATTTGTAGTCATATAAGACAGTTCTTATTCAAGGCCGTAATTTGGAGGCATATAAGACAGTTCTCTTTCAAGGCCGATATTTGTAGGCCTATAAGACAGTTCTCTTTCAATGCCGATATTTGTAGATATATAAGACAGTTCTCATTCAAGGCCGATATTTGTAGGCATATAAGACAGTTCTTATTCAAGGCCGATATTTGTAGGCATATAAGACAGTTCTCTTTCAAGGTCGATATTTGTAGGCATATAAGACAGTTCTCATTCAAGGCCGTAATTTGTAGGCATATAAGACAGTTCTCTTTCAAGGTCGATATTTGTAGATTTATAAGACAGTTCCCTTCCA